TCTCTCTCTCTCTCTCTCTCTCTCTCTCTCTCTCTCTCACTCTCTCTCTCAGGGGCCCTGGAGCCGGCAGACCGTGGCCCAATCCTAACAGTGCTAACTCAGTGAGTACCTGGGTCAGGTTGGGTGGTATTTTCAGGGAAGGGGCTCTGGGGTGTAGGGTGGTTCCTGTCCCCTGGCTGGAAGTGTCACTGTGGGGATGATGCAGAAGGTTTCCTGGGCATCTACAGACCCCTCCTGTGGTACCTGATGGCTCTAAGCAGTGTCCTGTGAGGAGGTGGAGGCTTGAGGAGGAACATGCTGGGATCAATAGAGCACAGCCATTGCCCAGTACAACCCACTCTCCTGCAGAAACCTGTTCTCAGCCGAGAGCCTGAGCTTAGAGCATGTGCAAAGGAGAGGTTCCTACCAGCTGCCGCTGCCCAGCAGGCCTACTTGATGTGCTCAGAGGAAGGGACGGGCAGGGACTCACACAGACAGTCCAGGGAGATGGCCAGAGGAGTGAGAGGAATGTGTTGTTTCCTGCTCTCTCAACCTGGAAGGCCTCCCATGTCCTGGCCCACCATCTCTGTGCTTCTCTTCAAGGCTGCTAGCAGCAGAGGACAACACTCAAGATCAGTTTAGTATAGAAGACAAGGGGCCCAGTATAGAAGGGAAGAAGGCTCAGAGCCCACCACCCTCCTAGGGAAACTGACCAGGAAGTTCCCTGGGTTTGATAGCCTGTCCTGTGAAGAGTGGGCTTGTGTCCGGGTGGGCTTGGACGTTAATGAGGGCTGCCGGTCGAAAGACTCTGACCCTGACCAGTGACCCCCTCACACCTTATTTCTAGATTCCATACTCGTCCTCCTCACCCGGTACCTATGTGGTAAGTGTGTGGGTCTGGGGGATTGCATGTCCAGCCACGTGTGACTGAGAGTGCAAGGGCCACTGGGGGAGTCCCTGGCTCTTTTTTGATTTTGAACCATGTCTGAGTATAGGTTCCGAACAGTGGTAGAGCCTGCTGTCAGTACTCAAGTCTTTGGTCCCAACCTGGGCAGGCCCAGATATCCCCAGACAGGACCCAGAAATTGGGATTCCCCATGTGGGGAGCCGACCAGTAGGACTGTGGCTTCCACCGCAGGCCTCTGGCTGCCACCAGTCGACATACACGTGAACTGTGCACAGGTGCCACTTTGTGTAGGAAGTGGTGGTTGGGGGTGTGAGACGTGTACTCTGAGTCTGAGTCAGCACTGGAGGGTTAGCCAGAGCCGGCTGCTTGGCTGGGTCAACTAGAGCAGTTCCTGTTGACGTGCTAGGAGCTCAGTGACCTGTCTTCATTTGCTCTGTCATCATGGGTTTCTAATGACAGTTTTTATCCTCTCTCCAGGGGCCCCCGGGTGGTGGCGGCCCCCCAGGAACGCCCATCATGCCTAGTCCTGCAGGTGAGAGGACTTGAGGGTCATGGGGTGGGGGGAGGGTTATTTGGGGAGTTCTGGGGCCCAGAGCCAAAGTTCCTGTCTGAACAACACACCCCCCACCTGGCATTTTGGTGTGCAGGGACTTGGGGGACAGGAAATTTCCTGGTGCCACCAATCCACTGTGTGACCTCTGCCAGTCCCAGCTCATCCCTGGGCCTTGGGTGCTGCCCTTAAAGGCAGGGCTGCACTGGAGGTCTGGGAACAACGGGTCTTATACCCTCAGCTCCCACTCGGCAGTAGGGATGATCTCTTCCTGTGTGGACGTTTCTCTCCATGCCCTGAAAAGGGATTTGTGCGTTCTGGCATCTTGGGACCAAGACTCCTAAGACGTGCTGTATCCTGAGTTGTCAGAGCTCTTGACTTCTGGTTCTCTGTGTGGGAGAGTCCTTCCCCTTTCTCTTTAGTTATCGGAGGGCACGTGGGTACATATGTGAGCACACACACGCAGCATCACAAGTATGTTGCTCTCCCAGATAAGAATAGCAGACCGACCAACTAGAGAGAACTCAACATGCAATCTTTACCCAGGCCCCAAAACGAAAAATGAGAGGCGGCTGAATTTCTACCTTAGAAATATGGACCCTGTTCCAGATAGACCCATAGTGGCTGATGGCTTACAGAGACTTTTTCCTGCTAATTGGGAAAGTGGCAGGGAGTGTCTTGGACTCCCGGTACCCAGGAGGCTGCTCAGCTGCAGGGGTGGGGCTGCTGGCGGCTGCGCTCACCACTCTCTCCCTCTCCCTCTCTCCACTGCTGCATTTTGATGAGCTGCATGACCTACATTCAGACTGGGTCACATTCAGCCTCTCCACATGTTCATGCAGTCAGCCCCTTCCCTGCCTCTCCTTGCCATCTCATCAGCTTGGCAGGATGGGCCCCCCCGCCCCGCCCCACCCCCAACCCCCATTTGTAATTTGTGGAGTTCTCTTTCCCCAGCTTGATTAAACCACTGGAAGAAGGATGAGGGGTGACTGGAGATCATTTATAGTTTAGGTTGGGGGAACAAGAATTCCAAACTCACAGTCCCCCCTGCTGCATCCATACTTCTGTCCAGTTGTCCTGAAATTCCTTCTTTCCGGGGGTTGAGTGTTTTTCACAGTTGAATTTTCTGTGATTAAAAACTTTGTGAATCTTCATTAAGTACAAATTAGCCAGAAAACGGTGGTGCTTAAAGGAAATTTTAGGTGATAAAATACAAAAGAATGAGTTCATGTGCCATGAGTTTGTTTTAATTAAGAAATGAATTAATCACCCCGACTTGCGGGTTTCCACTCTTCTACAGATTCAACAAATTCCAGTGACAACATCTACACAATGATTAATCCCGTGCCGCCTGGAGGCAGCCGGTCCAACGTAAGTCTACGTCCTAATAATTTACATATCAGATACCATAACAAATCATAATTAACTTCATCAGCTGAGGGGAAAGCACGTTTAATTGATTTCAGCCATTTGTTACCAAAGATGAATAAAATAAACCGTCAGAAAAGTGATTACCTCCCGGGCAACTCAGTTCAGTTTCATAGCAGGTGGCATGCATGGTGGGGAGTGAGCCCCCCATTCTGGTCAGAGCAAGAGCACCAGCCACCGTTGTGGGGGTGACCTCGCTGAGCCTGGGCCTGTCTCTAGTCGGCTGATTCACTGTCCCACCCCGGGCAGCCCCTCACCACTGAGGTCTGTGCTCTTGGTTGTGGGAACTGAGAGTGGAGACTACATAGAAAGCCACTTGGTTGAATCTGCACCTTCATTGTGAGCCCTATGACTTCTTACTTCTCTCTCTCTCCTCTCCTTGGGCAGTTCTCCGAAGCCCACTTCCCACTTCATAATCCCAACCTTTGACTGTTGCGGCTCAAATGTCGCCCTTGTGCCTCCTGCTTGTTCCCTCCCAAGAGCCAGCGTCTCCCTTTCTGTGTCCCCTGAGCTCTTTGTTGGAGGCTTTCTTATGTAGCTGCCTCCCTCTCCCTAGCCAGGTGCTCCTGGGTGAGACTCATTCGGATTCACCCTGCAGATAACTTTTCCACGCTAGTTCATTTGTCCAGTGAAGTAGGCCCACCTTGCCCTTCAGGAACTCAGGATCTAGAAAGAGGCTGCCATGTAACCCAGTCGGCAGTGTCTGGGGCCACAAAGTTGTCTTTTGCCTGGTGACAGAGATGTGGCCTTTTGTGGTGTGTTTGGTTTGTTAGCTCAGTTCACCCTATGAGCTAAACCCTGGTTGCAGCAGCCTCATGCTGGGCACTGTGCTTCTCTGAAGTAGGTCTGTGACCTGCCTCTTAGGCCTCTCAGGAGGACCTTAGCCTTGGTTGTCTGAAGCAGCCACATCTCTGTTCTGTTGTATTCTGCCAGCTCCTCCCTCACTCCCCTTCCAGCAGCAGTACCATCTTCCACCACCCCTCAGCACAGCCTTCTCACTAGGGTGACCAGCCACCCCAGTTTATATTTCAGGAAACAGAAAGTTACTTGGTAAGAGTTGTGGAAGATTGAGGGAAAAGTACAAAACCCATCCAGGGGTCCAGAAACTAGGACCTGAATACACTGTTTTTAGTGTCAGAAGATTCATTATGGCTGTCACTGTATCCCCTCCAACCACTGGCATTGGCAGCTGTGACTTTCACGTCACAGGTTGGACTACCTGTGTTGCATCATTTTAAGGGATGTGACTGAAACGTGTTTGTAATTGCACATATTCGTGGTCCGCCTTTGACTGCCTGCAGGTCAGCTCTTATGCCTTGTATCCAGAAGGTACTGGGCTGATGTTTACCATTGTAAATATTGTGACCACATTTCCTAAAGAGAGTTCCTTCCAGTGATGAAGGTGAGAAGGGTTGTAACGCTATACCAGCATGACCAGACATGGCTGAAAAAGAAGGCTCCACAAGTAGTCCTCTAATGACAGCTGGAAGGACACCTACCACTGGGTTGGGGGATCAATGGTCACACACAGCATGCTCCACAGTGTGCAGGCAAGGATGTGGGGTGGACCTGGTGGGCATAGGGTAGCGATATTCATAGAAGACTGCATCTCACAGTCTGGGCCGAGATGGACACGTTCTTCCAGATCAACAACAGCAGCTTCTTCATCCAGCAAGACACCATTGACAAGTTAGCAACAATAGCTGCTGAATAAACTGGGGCACATGGATGAACATGTGAATCATGTCCCTTTTACTGCTCTGTGAACTGAAAAGATGACATTTCCTGACTCAGGTGGCAACTAAAATTCCCTAGGAATGAACAAAGGAGGAAGCTTGGACAACAGATGTGTTGTCTGTTACAGATTGAATTTTGTCCCCTAGAAAGCTCTGATTGATGCCCTAACCCCAGTGCCTGTGAGTGTGATCTTGTTTGGAAGTAGGGTCTTTGAAGACGGTATTATTTAACATGAGGTCATACTGGAGAAGGAGAGGTTCTAATCCTAGATAACAGGTACAGAAGTGGGATACTACGTGATGCAGCAGCTACAAGCCAAAGAGTTCCAGGAGGCACCAGAAGCTAGGAGGGGAAGGCATGGAGAATTTTTTCCTCCCAAAGATTTCAGAAGGAATCAATTCAACTGATTTTCTGATTTGAACTGTGAACCATTACATTTCTGTTTTTTAGAGCTTGTCTGCTCTGTGGTATTTTGTTACAGCAGCTCTAGAAACCTAATACGTGGTCCCTTGCAGTGTAGAACTCATTTTGTTAAACCTTCTGATAACCGTGCTTCATATCATTGAATCACAGCAACAAAAAACTCTTCCCTCTAGCTCTTAGGTACTTTGATTTTAAAAGTGGATATTCATATTGTCTTGAAGATTTTAATGAAACCACAGAAAACACAACACAAAAGATTGTTGTTCTATTGTCAAAATACAAGCTAGACTTTACTCATCTAGCTGCAGAGTCATAGGCATGTGTAAATTCTAGCCAATTTCATTTAGTCCACAAACCTTCTTACCAAAGGAAATGAAAAGAGCTAAATGCCCCGCACACCTTGTTTACACCACTGCCAAATAGGAGTATAGTTTCCCTACCATGATATTGAGGCTCTCATAATGAAAGCTTTCGCTCCCGTTTTGATTTCCTCAAAATATACCGAATCACTTAATGAGAGTTTTGACTTCATAGAAATGGGAGCAAGAGCTTCCTCAGACATGGACCCATAAGATGGCTTTTCTTGTTGCGATCCAGAAAATGTGTCTATGAGAAGTTATCGTTTTCAAGTATGAGAACATACTCTAATTTGGCAATACACTGAGTGTGAGAACAGAGAAGGGAGTTTGTATTCTGTATCTCCAAAACTGCTTGATGTGCTTTGAAGAAGCCATGAAGGGCTCAGAAAAGGATGTGCCAACTCTATCTGAATTGTTCACTGTTATGTGTGGGCTATAACAAAATTGCACAGAGTGAAAAAAAATGACTCATTTTTTGGAAATGAGAGTGTGTCCTAACTCAAAAAAAAAAATTTCACCAGGAAAAGGTAGTCAAATTAAACAGAACTTTCTTACTTTCTATATGAAAACTAACTTCCTAGGAATCCAACTTCAGTTGCCTAAATTCAGATTATCTCTGTGCTTCGAAACCATATCCCCTGAGAAAGAAATGTTTAATTTGTAACGACATCTAGTGAGCTTCAGAATATTTAAAAATGGTAGGCACCTTAGGGATAGCCCATCTGATGAACTGGTGGACACAAACAACATGCTTGACAGACGGCTGGTGTACTGAAACAGGCCTGTAGATGTAATGTAGATGGGCATCTTTGGAGGCCTAGATATTTCAGGCACACTTGGTTTTGTGGAGAGTATATTTAGCTTTAGGGGCCCTAAAGGCTAAGCACTCCACTGCTAACCGAGAGGTTGGCAGTTCTAATCCACCAGTGGCTCCGTGGGAGAAAGGACCTGGCAGTGTGCACCTGTAAAGATTGACAATCTGTGTTGTACGGTCACCGTGAGTCAGAATTGGCCTCCAAGACACAGTAACTTCGACCTTGGATGTCATCACGTTGGACAGACATGGGAATCCTGTAACTTGGGAAGTTGAGAAATGTAGAGCTGCAGGAAAAGTGACTTTTGTATTTGACTATATTCAGTCATCAAAGAAAAGAAAGATATCTGGAAGAATGCAGGCAACTCAAACATGGTACTGGAAAGTGAAACGGTCAAATTATCTTTTTTTTCCTGACAGAAAAAAAATTGTCATTGTACTTTTGTTATTATTATTGAATATATGTTAGGTAAAATCTGTTTCATCAGTCCTATTTGCATTCTCCTTTTAAAAAATATTATGTTTTAAGTATCTTTAGAATACATAATATCTCAAATTTAAATATGTAATCATTTCAATAAATTACTGTGCCAGAGAGAACAGGGTTATTATTCAAATACTGCTGTGTTTTCTCACACATATCACTTACTAGTCTTCTTATTAATTGCTGCTAATTGCCACTGCTAACTAGTCCTGTTTAAAGTAACAGCATTTATGTAACAGAAAATATATAACACAGAATAAACAAGGATGCTGGAACAATTGAATATTCACATATAAATAACCAATACATAAAATTGACCCAAAATCTATCATAGGGCTAAATGTTAGAGCTAAAGCTATAGAACATTTAGAAGAACACATAGAAATACATCTTCACACCCTTGGGTTGAGCAAAGCTTTCTTAGACACGACACCAAAAGCACAAATGATCAAAGAAGAATAGATTCTTAGGGCTTCATCAAAACAAAAAATTTGTGTTTCAAAGGACACCACTTCAGGGAAATGTAAGTCAGCCACAATGAGATGGCACTTCACAATCACAAGGTTGGCTGTATCCAAACGACAAACTAGCCCACTGCCATCAAGTTGATTCTGACTCATAGCAACCCTCTAGGACAGAATAGAGCTGTTCCCTAGACTAAATCTTTCCTGTTGCTAGTGGGAACATAAAGTGATGTGGGAAAACACTCTTGGTAGTTCTTCAGAAGGGTAAATACAGAGAGTTACTAAATGACCCCACAATCTCACCCCCAAAAAAAATATGTCCACAAAAGAATTTGTGTATGAACGTTCATAGTAGTAGTAATCATGTTACTGTTGTTAGGTGCCATTGAGTCAGTACCAACTCATAGCACAACAGAACGAAAAACTACCCAGTCCTGGGCCAATCTCACTACTGTTGCCAGGTTGAGCCCATTGATGCTGACATTTTGCCAATCCATCTCGCTAGGGGTCTTGCTCTGTTTCTCTGTTCCTCCACCCTACCAAACAGGATAATCTCCAGCTCCCTCCTGAAAATATGTCTGAAGTATGAGAGATGAAGTTTGGCCATCCTGGCCTCAAGGAGCACTCTGGCTGCACTTCTTCCAACACAGATCTGTTGGTTC